ATTGAATCTTCCCGTTTGACCTTGATTCCCCTAACTCAAGGAAGTACTTCGTTGATTCTCTAAGTGATTGATTCTGAGTTCTTAAATTAGTATACTACTAAGTTTTTTACCTTATTCCACTAGCTACTTTCAACTATAAATACCCTAAGTCTTTCACAAACAAGATAGACTTGGCTTCCAAAAAACCCTTCTCTTATTTAAAATCTCTGTATTATTATATTACTACTAGCCGGCTGCAAGCCAAGGCTAATTATCTGTGCTCTTTGGTTCTTTCATTCTGCTTACTTCTATCTTCACCGGTATGTCCTAGTTTTGATTATAGCCATAACAACAACATGTTTCTCTTCTTGTTTCAGTTTCTTTTATTTCTAGCCTGCTTTGACTTATGGTTTTGTTGTGAAGTCTGTAGTTAAGCATGCTAGTATGACTCACCTCCCTTTAAGTTCATGTTTTCCCTTGTATGATTCAAGCATGCCTGGACAATTGTTTTCCTTTACCTACTGTGCACTTACCATTTTGTGAATCCCAAATCCCTATTCCCCTCTAAGTGTTTATCTTCCTCATGACTGGTTTGTGATTATGCCAGTGTCAAGCTATCTCTGAGCATGTCCATACCAGTCCTAATACTCCTGCTGGGGTCATGTGTCTGCAGGCAATGTCTGTGTATCCCCAACCCCTTAACCCCTGTGTGATTACTAAATACATTTATATTCTGTGAACTTGTTGTGTGTGGTCCTATCCTGAAGTGTTTGAAATCTGTTTACTATTCCAACTTCTTTTCAGCAATCTCTGTTACTAATTACTTTCAAAACAAACTTTTGAGTCCAGTCTTTAATAAACTTCTTTCAAACATGAGTCTTGCACTTTCACTCTACTCTTAGTTAATAAGTTCTACCCCTCTAGTATGTGTACTGCCTTGGGATCCTCTTGAGAACCCTTGGAACTCTGGCATACTAAGGCTGGCTTTCCACACTGCACTGGTTCAATGCTTGGCTACTAAGTCTAGGTGTAAGCATTGCCCGGGGTCCTTGAGACCCTTAGGGAACTTTGATGCACCTAGACTCTGATTTGTCTATAGAAATGAGGTTTGAAAGACCATTGGAGGCTTTGGGAAACGTGGGCCTGATTGCAGGCTCCCTATAGAATAGCTTCTTAGTTTGCTATTTCATTTATGTAATTCATTTGTTGGCCTGTAATATTTTGTAAACAAATATTCGGGGTAATTTAGTAAAATGGTGGGTAGATGTATACTTTGTGGGGTAATATGGGTAGAAATCCTACTCTTAGGATTTTACTTTCAAATCTGCCTTCTTTACTCAATAGAAAACATGTTCATAGGGTGTGACTCTTGTTGAATCTGATTTCATTTTGCATAATAGACATCATGCCTATAGGTTTTCACTTTTAATGTCATTTGCATCAGATATAAACCATGTTCATAAATCCTGCATTTGTCATGTTAGAAATCATGTTTCTAGGTTCCAAGCCATCATGTTTTAAATCAATTCAAGTATAGATACCATGCCTATAGGACAAAACTCTGATTCAATAAGTTTTTTTTCACATGTTACTACAAATTGCCTAAAACCACTAACACGCCTAGATATCATGCCTACAGGGATTTCTATTCGTAATTACGTCTAAAAATCTAATTAGTCTAATAAGTCGATTTCATCTCGCCTAGTTTACTTTTCAAAACTGGTCTTATTAAGCGATAACATCTCCTGAAAATGGTTCTTTCAGCATTGCTTTAATCTCATTAGATATCCTGCCTATAGGTATTACAAGGGTCTATTTCAAAAACCTATTCGTTTTGCATTGACATAAGTATCAGTATTCTCGCCAGGAGATTGCCTAACGACGAATATATCGTTCCCTGAGTCCCTGAGTCCCTCGCCACGCGATTGCCTAACGACAAATATATCATTCACCCTAGCCTCCACCTTTTTAGCCCCAGCGTGGGCGGTGACGAACTTGTCGGCCATTTCTTCAAACGTTGTGATTGAACATGTTGGCAATTGTAAGTACCATGTTAGGGCTCCCCCCGTTAGGGTCTCACCGAACTTTTTCAGTAATACTGATGGCACCTGCTCCTTTGGAAGGTCGTTGCCTTTTACCGCTGTGACGTAATGAATGATGTGATCTTCGGGGTTTGTGGTGCCATCATATATCTTCAAATACGGTGGCATTTTGAAGGTCTTGGGTATGGCATGCGAGGCTGCCTCCTCGCTATACGATTGTTCGATAAATCGACCGACATCTCGTTTTGGCAGCAGTTTTGGGGTGCTCGATATCTTATCGACCCTTTCTTGATGTTTCCTCATCTGGTCGCGGAGTACTTTGTTCTCGTTTTTCATTTCTTCCATTTTCTTTAGGATGGCCGCAAGTGCATCATTACTTGCATCAACAGCAGTGTGAGTGTTACATGTTGGGGGAGCAGGTTGCTCGTCGGCGATCGTTGTGGTATCTGTCTGTATGACGTTCCTATTCGCCCGTTGAACGGGTTTGTCAAGTATGTTATTTAGAGTGCTTGTTAGCCATTCTTCCAGTAATTTTTTCACTGTTGGTGGCGCTTCCTTAGCTGTGGACGTGGAAGCTCCCCTTTCGCGTGAAGCGGTTACACTTCCATGAGGGGGAGGTGAATCACTCTGCTTGGGCGTAGCACTCGGCGTCACATTCTCCTCATCTCCTATGTCGTCCTCGTTGATGGTGTTTAAGATATTAGTAGTGACACCCACTATTACTTTCTATCTTTCATCTCCTTTCTCTGCCGTTGTTAGTTTGTGCAAACGAGAAAAAGATGGATGTCCTTCTTTATGATCTAGAAGAAACTAAAAATTTCAACTAAACAACTCCCCATAGACGGTGCCAAATTATTTGACCAAAAAGTGTTAAGTTTTTTGTTAAACTAATTAATGATGAAACGGAGGGTGAATCTTAGTTAAATATAATAAATTCTAGATCAAATATTGCAGGATATTGGTAAGATGAACGGCGTTTGAGAGCATTAAATAGCATATTTGTGCTAAATGATTATCCATAAATATTGTAACATGAACATGCAATAAATGTAGATAATGACAATAAATATAATAAGAAAGAATCTACCACCCAATTATTATATGAGTTGGATGGTTCTTTCTCCTGTAAGCGACGTGGAAAAATGAGAAGTAAGAATGGATAAGAAATCTTTGGATCTTGTGAACAAAGGTTAAATAACGTGTGCTTCAATCCGATAATCAGTGAACCAAACAACTTTTTTATATTCCTTATAGTAAACCTTTTACAATATGCTTTTATCAAAAAGTGAAGATCCCCCTTCGTTCTATATCTCTTCCTATTTATTAGGGATATTTTTAAAAAACTCTAAAAAGTACAAAAAAGGAATATCCAAAGGAATATTCCTTGTGTCCATTTCTGAACCTATCCTACCGTTATTTCTTTACTCCAGCTGCTCGTCTTTGACAACGGTCTTCTCGAAGACGGCTTCCCGTTATTACGTCGTGGTCGACTCCGTCCTCGATCCTGTTTATCTACCGTTACCAAGTTGTCAAATTTAGACCAATACAGTTAAAATGTTTTAAATAACATGTTTAAAAGTGGCTGCCTCATGTTATTTCCATTCAGTATTTTCCTATCACGTATTTTATTACGTATTCTGTATTTCATATCTCTTATATTGCTGTTATTTTATTATGCATTTTTATGGTACTAATATATCGGCTCCTATTGCTTTTTTGAGCCGAGGGTCTCCTGGAAACAGTCTCTCTACCCTCCGGGGTAGGGGTAAGGTTTGCGTACATATTACCCTCCCCAGACCCCACCTGTGGGATTATACTGGGTTGTTGTTGTTGTTGTTGTATTTTCCTATCATGTTTTAAATATTCCAAACTTTAATAGCTGGACCACGTCAGCCAATTTTTTCAAAATTGATCGGGAAAAAAATAAAAAATAGTCAGATCTACGACTGGTAATTGAAAAATAGCCACAGTTTCAAAAGTAATTAGAATTTAGCTACTTTTTCCTGTAAAGATAAAATCTGAACAAAACAACTCTTTAAAAGTCCGGAAATATTCCAGCATAATATGCTAGAGTTCGAATTTTTACATATGAACTTCCAACATAATGTGCTAGAATTTCATAATGTTCTGGAGTTCCAACATAATATGCAAGAAGTTTATATGCAAGAGCTCAATAATTTAATATATTATACTGAAACTTTTTGTGTGTCGGACTTGTGATATACTGTACTATGAGTTCTATAATACCGCATATTATGCTGAGATTTTTCGTGTTTCAGTAAAATAATCCCGCCAAAAACTAGGGAGAAATTCAAAAATAGCCAGATTTACAACTGGTCGTTCAAAAATAGCCCAGTTTCAAAAGTAATCGAAATTTAGCCACTTTTCATGTAAAGATAAATCTGAGCGAAAACACTGTTCAAAACCCGAAAAATACGTCAGTATATTCTACTGGAGTTCCAGCATAAGTATGTTTGAACTCCAGCATATTATACTGGAGTTCCACGATAAGTATATTGGAACTCCAACATAATATGATGGAGTTCCATCATAAGTACACTAGAACTCCAACATAATATACTGGAGTTCCAGCAAGTATAATTGTCCGGTATAATATACTGGAGTTTGGAGCACCGGTGCTCCAATCTCCAATATATTATACTGGAGTCAGCAAAGTATACCGGTCCAGCATAATATGCTGGAGTTCATACACAGGTGCACCGAACTTCAGTATATTATGCTGGACCGGTCTCTGTTACAGCAAAATAGTGGCTATTTTTCATTGATTTCGTAAATGCTGGCTATTTTTGAATGACCAGTCCGAAAACTAACTATACCGTGCTATTTTTACCAAAAACTGGCGTATGGCTGGGCCGTGCTATTTTCACAAACTGACCCCCTTAAGTATTAAAGTTGACTCAAGAAAAGAAAAAAACTATTACTTGACCGGTAACCCAAGCCCGATAACCAGATCTCAAAGACTCGGAATCGGCAATTAATTAATCAAACCTACCCATTCAGCTCGTTAAAGCTTTCTCATTGGCGTGCATTCATCACCTATCTCCCCTCCCTTAATTCCCAAGAAAGAAACAATTTAAACACACTGACAAAAAAAGAAAAATAAGCAGCAAATTAATTATAAATACTATAGAAAAGAACACAAATTCTCAAAGGAGAATTTTTTTTGGGAATTTTCTCAAATTTTTGGGTTTCGATTAGAGAAATCAAAGTGGGTTTTGAGTTCAAAGAATATATATAGACTCATGACATCAACAACTTTGAGGAGAAGGCTACATCATGGGGATGTTGGTGGCAAAAAGAATGAGCATTTTGATTCTTTGGGCTCTGATGATGGTTTAAATGAGCCTTTACTTGGGTGTAATAAATATGATGACAGTGATCAGGTAATTCTGGGTTTATTTTTAAATATAAGTTGTGTTTTATAGGCTATTTGTTTATAATCTTTAGAATTATCTTTCTAAAGTTTTGCCTTTTTGTAATATTCCTGCTTTATTTTATGATTAGTTTACTAATTTTGTTTTTGATAGGGTTCTTGATGATACTCTTCTTTGAATTATGTTGCTGAAAGTTTCTCTTTTATTTGGAGTATTTGTGCGTTATTTTGTGATTTTGTCGGTTTCAATTAATTTTGCTTTTTATAGGCTTTTTGTTGATAATCTTTTGAGTTATGTGGCTAAAAGTTTCTCTTTTTGGTATTTTGTGCTTTGGTAGAGAAAATTTGGATTAGATTGTGAAATGGGAATTCTTTGTATTATAGGTATGTACACTCGAAGATGTGTTGGATGAAGGGCGAAGGCAGGAACGCCTGCACTGGACGCTGCTATTTTCTCATCTGATTTCTCAATGGGCGCAATGGTTAGGTGTGATTTCATTAGTTTGTGATTTTGATGTTATGCTCTTTGTGTATTTTGCACAATGCAGTTACTTGCCGACTTATGTAGTTGAATTATCCGTAGAGCATGACTAGTGACTACACGGGTAGTATTACCCTCCCTGCTGAATTAGTTAACCATTTCCTCTCCAATAAGTATTTTGTTAATCCTTTGTTCTGGAGATAAAATGGACCATTTTCCAGATGGAAAAATTCTTCACTTCCACTTAAAACATATTTTCTTGCTTTGGATTCGTAAGTGCATTTGGGACTTTAGGAGTTAGTAGTCATCACCTGTCAGGTCCCTCTGATGAAAGATACCCTTACTGTATCCAAAGTGAAGACTTTCAGCTTCTGTTTGCAAAATGCAAGCCTAAATTTGTCTATTCTGCCATTTCTTTTCTGAGAAAGTGATTTTTTTTTTAGTTCCACATTAGTATATTAAGGTGTTTGGTATTCCTATATTGGAGCCGTATTGACAACGTACCAAACTATGTACTATTTACTACCTAAGGCATCATAGTAATACTGTGGATTGACACCACCATTATCAAAAAAAGAAAAAAATGTTGGTAGTTCTTAAATCTCTGAGCTGCACCTTAACGTGAATTGTATACCACAGAGAAATGAAACGGTTGATATTTTAAGTCTAACGACAACCAACCCACCTTTGAAACCAGAAAATCCATTTCAAGGTCAAGAGTTTCAAATACATGTTGAAGGATCAGAGATGCAATTATGTTTACTTTCTTCCAACTTCCGTGCAAGGACCTGGGGCAAGTTGGGCTCCACTTAGAGACAAAAGTGTCCTTGACTAGCATGGGATTGAGGCATACTAGTTGTAGTTGTTGTTATTGTAGCAGTAGTTGTATTATGCAGTTTGTAAAGCCTTTTCTTGATACCCTTGTCCTTTAAAATATATTTGACCTTTCATTAACTAGATAGTGTCGTCTAGGTCAATCCTCTTGCCTAATCTAGTGAGATTTCTTGGTATAGTTCTTTCTTTGAAACTACTTTGCATGCCTTCTCATTCTCTTGAGGCATTTTTCAGAAGTCTAAAGTTGTTGTTATTCGTTTAGTATAGATCAATAGATAACATAAGGTGTAGAGTAGCTGTCAAGCGAGTTCAACAAAAGCCAAAATTATGAGTTTGCTTCTAGAATCAAGCAATTGTTTAGGTTACGGGGAAGTATGATCGCAAGGCTTAAGTTTAAAGGAATTGACGGAAGGGCACCATCAGGATTGGAGCATGCGGTTTAATTTAACCCATCATGGGGAAACTTACTAGGTCTACAAAAAGTAGAGCTATTTTTATTGTTCTAATCCCAACTAGCTTGGTGTTGAGACGTAGTTGCAGTAGTAAATAACATGTTGAGGGTTTTATTGACTAATATGAGATATGGTGTTGAGATGATTGCCTAAAACTACTTAAAATCCAGGGCAGTCACAACATTATAATATGTCTATTTATGTTTTCCTTCCTTATGGATTGATGATGAAAGCTAAATGAGTAGAACAAGAAGCATCATGTGAGAGGTTAGAGTGGGAGAAGACACATTGAAGAAGTGGAATGGTGCAGCAAGCAGTAAGAATAGGTGGAGAATTAAACCCTTTTGTTACTTTTGGTATCTTGCTATTAATCCTACGTTAAGAAAAGATTCAGGGTCCATAGGGATATGGGAAAAGGTAAGAGGCCAATCCAGGGGGATATGTAGTTTTCTTGAGGTGGAAGAAAGCAAGGATGATAGGCTTGTGAAAAGCCTCTCTAAGTTTTAGCATCTTTGCTCTTTCCCTACATGCCAAACCTCAAAAGGAAGATAGGTTTATGGGGATTCTGTTCTATGCTGTTTCCCATATGCTTTTCTTTATTTTTTTCAAATAGATGCAATTTCCCATAATGAACATGGTATTGGCCCACAAGAAGGAAATACTTCTGATGGAATTATAAGAAAGGTGAAATATAGCATCTAATAACAACCGAGAAAATGCTATAAAATATGTAAGACTAATATCTTAGTCAACCTTGGAATATTCTTGTCCTTGCAAGGGTCCAACTTAACGGAATTACCCTTTTTGGATAAGCTAAACGGAATTAAATTAACTAGACCTTAAAAGTAATTCGGAAGCAACATTGTCTGATTAAATCCTAAGAATATGGAATCTTAAGCATGAATATCCTGCTACAGTGCAGCAACAGTAGCCTATTTATCGGGGCCCACTCATTGCAATGTCATAATCAAGTGCATTAACTATTCTGGATACACTTCATTACTTTCTAGAGTGTATTGCTTGTTTTTCTTGCAAAGTTTGCCTTACTCTTAGAGCATCTATCTGTCTTGTTGTATCAGCAACTATTTGTATATACATATTGGATTAGTAAATTAAAATCATCAAAAATATCTTTTGTTTTTGTTTCAAATTTTAATGGCTTCAACATTTCTGATTCATTCTCCATTGATCTTGCAGCAAATATTGTCTTTGTGTCTGGGTCACTTCTTGGCCGGATTTTTCCCTTTGCCTCAGCAACTCAAGCTGGATCAACAGCAAATCTGTTACCTCCTTTACTTAGCCCTTTACAGGTATTACATGAGGATTAAAGAGCAAAATCCATGACTTCGCCCACCCGTTGTTTGCAGATATATGATATTAACTTTCTTTGCTAACAAAACATATAATGCATAATTTGGAAATTTATCAGCATAGAGAAGGATTTCAGAGTAATTAAGGAACACATCTGATACAACTGTTGCCTAAGCTATCCAAATCCATTCTTTTTTGCTGGACTGGCAGTCTCCAGAGGTTTGATGCATGGAATTTTTGTGGCTTACCTTGTGATATGTAATTTGGCTTCGGAGTATCATCATGTCCATCACTTATTCCCCTCCCCCCAACCCACAAAAAAAAAAAAAAAAAAAAAAAAAAAAAAAAAAAAAAAAAATCCGTTAAGCTCATCCAGCTACCTGCCTATCATCCATATTTTGTTTCTCTGTTTAGTGATCCATGATATCAGTCATTCATTGCCTTAAATTCTTTAACATTTGATTGTAGGAAGCAAGGCTGAAACATCTCAAGGAAAGGCTAGCAATCCCTTTTGATGGCTCTTTCTTGGATCATCAAGTATGGAAACTTGCACCATCTTTGCTTTCTTTCTTTCTGAACACCTTTTCAAATGTTTACCTTTTTCTCTTCATAAGCAGTAGAAGAGGTTGCAACAATGTTGGAAGTCGTTACTGCCATGTGGTTAAGTTTCTTAGTCTGAAAGCTCCTAGTCAATATTATTTATGGATTATGTACTAACTTTTGGGAGGTTCACACGTTAGATGGTTGCTTTGTTATGAGAAGATATCATGACTTACTCTGATTTTTTCTCCTTTGCGATTTTTGAATTACTGGAAAGTTTTTCATTTACAAACACACACACACACACACATCTCATTTGTGACTGAAAGAACAGCTAAATAGTATGAGATCAAGCAAAACATATCACCTTATTTTAAACTAGTGATGAGAAAAATAGAAAGGAGAGCGTCAAACTGCTTTTCTTTCAATTAATTACATGTAATTTTTCTTATTAAGGAAGGACGTAGTTATGCCTTTTTAACATGTTTAGCAGGATACTCTAGTCTCTCGTACGTCAGAACCTATATTTTGTGCCTCGTTGATTCTTTCTTACTCAAAAAAATGCAAATTTGGTGCCAGGATGCTCTTAGGCAACTATGGAGGTTATCATATCCTGATAGGCCACTTCCATCTCTTAAATCTGAGCTTTGGAAAGAAATGGGTTGGCAAGGATCTGACCCTTCAACAGACTTCAGGTATAAAGGGCTATATATTTGATTTACAATTTTGCTGTGCTGCTGGTGCTTCTACTAAGATTATGAACACAAATGTAGGGGTGGAGGATTCATATCATTGGAGAACCTTATCTTCTTTGCCAAGACATACCCGGTTTGTACATCAGCTTATTTACCTGATGTTTGTTCTGATTGGAATTGGCTTTTCAATCATGTGTTTTTGAACAGTCTGTTATATGTATGTCTAGAGGTGGCAAAATGTTTAGAAGAAAACAGTTATCCACCCATATTATCCATTAGAAAATGGGTTGGATAATGAACATTTTAAAAACGGGTCGAATATGGATAAGAACCATATTATCCACTTAGAAAATGGATAACCAATGGATAACTAATGGGTTTAACTTTTACATTTTTAAAGCCTCAAATTGGGGGCTACTCAAGGTTGGGAGACTAGGAATTCTCCCAAGAGTGATTATATTCAAGAAGCCATGGATAATATGGATAACCATATTATCCACTTAGACAATGGATAACCTATGGATAACTAATGGGTTTAACTTTTACATTTTTAAAGCCTCAAATTGGGGGCTACTCAAGGTTGGGAGACTAGGAATTCTCCCAAGAGTGATTATATTCAAGAAGCCATGGATAATATGGATAACCATATTATCCACCAGATAACCCGTTTTTTATCCGTATTAAATATGGGTCGGGTCGGATAATTTATCCGGTTTTTGAATTACCCGTTTTCAACCCGCTCATATCCGACCCGACCCGCCGGTTTGACACTCCTATGTATGTCTATAATTTGTTATGTTTATGTTGAATTTTGGAATCTGCAGAATGAGGAAATATGATATGCGAGAGTTTCCACTGAAAAAAAAAGAAATATAAAAAGCTCCATGTGAGAAGAGGTTGGGAAAGAGAAGTGAACTTTTTTAGGACAATCTAAATTAAAATTGCCAAATTGTCCTCCCCTGGGACCCTGGGTGGAAGAAGACTCAGAATTCTTAGTGAGTATGGCTAGAGTCGCAAAAGTTAGTTTCTAGGCTGATAGAGCATTCACCTCATCTTGGTATTAGTACTGAAGAAAGAGAACGATTCTTATTTTTTGTTTCCTGGAGCAATCCATGTTCTTTGGTATTCTTATCTTCAACTTATCCTTTTCCTCTTCAGACTCCTAATATTTAGGCACTTGCTTTTGTGTTTTGTGAAGCCTGATGTATATAACTGTTTAGGAAAGCATAATTGGGTTCAGTTGAGAGTTGAGACCGTTATTCTTTTGTCCTCTAGAGCAAGTAAGTTTTTCATTAATAGTTTCTCCCTGGCCGCCCGCTCTATTACAGGAATCGTTCCAGAACTTGTTGCACAAAAGAAAGGGGAATAGATCTGAGTGGGAGTATCCATTTGCTGTAGCTGGCATCAATATATCATTTATGTTGGTCCAAATGTTGGATCTTCAATCAGGTATGGAAATATTTCAGTTAGAAGTTAGAGCATCTTCCATTTTTTTGGCTGAGAAATACGTGGTGAATATGTAAACAGTCAACAGTTTCCAGTGCATCCTTTCGAATAAATTTCGTGGTAATTAAATTGTCCTGAACTAGTTATTCTTCAAATCTATTTTGTGATCATATGATCTAATATCGTCATTTCCTTCTAATGACACAAGAAGAACTTGTTGATCTTGTGTAAGATCTCTGTCATTTTATATTCACTTTGTTCTTTTTCCACGAGTAAGATAAAATTTTATCGATATCAGGTCGTCCTCTCTTTTCTGAACTTTTTAATACTTCTTTTTGAGTGGCAGGGACACCAAGCACCCTGGCAGGTATCCGCTTCCTAGAATTACTCAGCGAGGATGACATGGCGTTTGACAAACTGTTTTGTATCGCCTTTGAAATGCTCGACGCACAGTGGCTAGTGAAGCGTGCATCATATATGGAATTTAATGTTGGTAACAGTTTACTTACTATTGGATTTTGTTTTCCATATATGTAGCCATACCAACACATTTTCCTTTTACTTTCCTTTTCTTAGGATGTTTTGAAGGCCACAAGACTGCAGCTAGAGCGCGAGCTTGCTCTTGAAGATACCTCTACTGTAAAAGATTTGCCTGCCTATAATCTATTGAGGAGATAATGTACTTACTTCAAGATGTTAGTTTTTTTCTAATTTTTACACCTGTGTACACTACACCATGTTGAAGATTCTCTCCCTTGGAAATAAAAACCAAGTGCATTATGTTTGCTGGAAAGTTCTGTTGTACATAATATAGAGTTGAGACAAATGTTCTGGTTTTTTTTTGATCTTGAGAAGAAAAAGGACATTAGCCTTGAGTTGAAAATTAGCTCATTCTCTCAACCAATGTTAGACGTGCTAAGGATATGCTGCACACCAGGTTTGGACATTTGAAAGCGTGGATGCTATAACACGGGGCCCCAATATTAAATAAACCAACAACCAATGTTTTAAAAGGCATTTTCGGGGCGAACCCTTGGGCGAGGCGCACCAAAAACGTCCCGGGCGATGGTGTGGGGGAAAGTCTCATGAGGCGTTTGCGGGGCGTACGTCCGGGCGTTCGGGGCGTATTTTTTTAGTGAGGCGTAAGCTTACGCATCAGAGAGATTTTTTCAAATTAAAACAAACTTTGTTGAATAAGACCATATAATACCCAAATTCTCAAAATTCAGCTTGGTAAGTACTCAAAATTTTTAAAAAGGAACTGAAATGTATTACATTTAAAAGTGAAAACCTTTTTTTATTGATTGAAGCCCCAATTCATGGTCTTTCCCAATTTTTTATCTTGTCCGCTAGTGTGCTAATATCTCCAAAAAGTAACGAATATTCAATTTTTTTTACAAATACAAAGAGAACTCCATTCTCCTTCGTAGCAGCAAGTTCAAAGGTCAAATTGCAGGTTAGTCATTCTTTTTGTTTTTCCATGTAGAAAACTTTATTCTTTTCGACTCAAGTTACTTGAGCTTCTAAGTAGCATATAATAGATTGTTTTGACTAGTTTTTGTGTAGAGATGAAGCGCGCGCGCGCGCACACACGCATATATATATATATATATATATATATATATATATATATATATATATATATATATTNGTGCCTCGGGCTTATGCCTCGCCGAGGCATATGTAAAACGCCTCGCCTTACGCCCACGCCTTTTAAAACACTGCCAACAACATAGATGAGTCTGTCTCTGATTTGATGTGAAGAAAATGAATATGGAATTACTCAACTCTAAAGCTCATGAGATGAGATTGTCCAAAGATCATACACAGAGAGACAATAATCTATCTCCTCAACCAATGTGAAACAACTAATATATTTAAAATATTCTTCAATTTTACTCCCATAATCCTAATAATCTATCCTCTCAACCAATGTGAGATATACTAGGTGGGACACACCGTCAACAAGTTCGCAGAATGGGTTAGAGAGAGAAGCTTTAGCTTCTCACTAACTAGCTAAACCTTTCATATCCTCCTAAAACTTTCTTCTCCTTCCAAAACCATGATTGACAATCCACCAACTGCCAATACAGACCCGCCAGATCTGAGTTCAATGAACATTGACGATCCAATCATTAACAGCAACATCCTTCTTTTATGCAAACTCTATTAAATAGTCATACTATGTCACTACCCCCCATCTCTAACACCCAATCCTACATTGACATGTCTGACGAAGTGTTAGAGGACCCAACGCCAGAAAATTTTATTCCCCTTTCCAGTTCTAACAAATCCAGACTTTACTCTCCATGGACATACTCAATTATCGTGAAGGTGTTTGGACGAAAAGTGGGACATCTATCCCTTAAACAAAAATTACAAGCCATGTGGAAACCAACGGAAACACTATCATTAATCGACTTAGGAAATGATTTCTTCTTAATTAAATACCAAAATGAAGAAAACATGAACAAAGCACTTCATGAGGGACCATGGTTTGTCTTAAACCACCTCCTCTTAGTGCGTTGTTGGGAACCACAGTTTGTAGCCTCCACCCCACAACTTACTTACACTGTCATCTGGACTCGTCTCTGGAGTTACCAACAAAGTTCTATGACCCAGAGATCTTACAAAAAGTGGAAAACAAACTAGGTAAACTATTAAAAATAGATACATGCACATCGTCATATCTCGTGGGCGTTATGCTCCTATTTGCATAGAAGTGTCACTAGAAAAATCACTAACGTCCCATGTCTTCATTGGGACACACCGCCAATAAATACTCTATGAAGATCTCAACATGTTATGTGTAGTATGTGGATGATTAGTCCATACTCATGTCAACTGTCCCCCATACTCACATTCATAACACTACAACAACCGCAACAAAACAACTAGACCATATTTCTCCATCTACCTCCAACACCAAGCAAGATATACAACCAATAAACTCTGAGTGGAAAACAATTGTTTTCCCACGGAAACCAATCAAACAATGACCAGGGGCACCATCTCCCAACTCAATGTAATACTGATGCACGCCACTCAACTCCAAAGCAATCCTCTCACGGAAAACACATAAAAACTACAAGGCCATCAACGACTAAAGAGGCAAACTCAGGTACTCTTCCTTTAATTATCTCCCCTACATAAATTATCCCAGCATTAAACAAAGTCGTGCATAACCCTAAGGGATTAACAATAAAATATACTTTTCAATTACTTAACCAATCTGAAGATCTATTGGACCCGGATACTGCTCTTCACCCTAAAAGCCCAGCCCACAAAAATAAGGCACAGTAAGAAACGGATTATGAATCCACTATACAACCCCCTTTATTACCCCCATTGCACTTAACACACATAGAGACACCCCTAGAGAATAACTCTCTATCACACGTTACCAGTATGAACAGTGCCCACATGTACACTACGCCAATGATAATAGAAGCCACGTTCGAGGCACCACCCAAGTTATCCACTCAAAAATAATTAGACACCCACTATAGCAACCCTAAGCCAAGCCCACTAACCTCATCGGTAGGTAATCATGACCTTGTTACGGTAGACACCAAGCCCAATTCACTACATCACAATGGACCTCATGCCCCATGCAGACTATACACTCAAATGTTAGCCCATGCGAAAAGCCCACTAAACAAAACACTACTTCTTCTTCTCCACACCCACCGTCTTACTCACCCTCTTCCAACTCTACTAATATTGACAATGCATCATTAACACTAATATCTCACACGAAAGACTTCACTATTGATCACTCATATATTTCAGCCATTACACATGCAACGACACAATGCACCAACCTTTCCCCTCATAACTCACCATCAACGACCTTCAAACCTTCCTTTCCGACCACTCAACCTTCACTTTCTAGCTTTATGAACGATGACGAACCATACACCACCACCTCAAACATAGCTAGTAATCTACACTTCCCAAACACCAAACCTTTTCAATCCACCTCAATCATGGCTCGAAATGGGGCTACAGAACCATGCACTCACTTTCTCAATGATAGTGAACAACCAATAAGTAATCATTCTCCTTCAAAATCCACTAGACTTAGCCCAGATAGTAACGGAGGGAATGACAGCCGGAACGAACCTCTATGGCCAGTATCAATGGGCAACAACATAGATGAATCAACCAACAACATGAGGGATGCAACAACAACCACATCCATACCACTACATGTGGAACCTTCTACCACTGTTCCAGAGCAACCTACAACCTCACACTTACGTGGAGCTACCCTTTTACCCACCCTCACAATCCCAAATTCCTTGGATCCACGAGTACATGCACATGCAATCTCCCCTCCTACCCATGCCCCCGATGAGACCATTTGACCCACTCACTCCATCCAACGGCTCAATGAGCCCACAACGACCAAGCCCAAGGGAACAAGACAACCTCTCTCTATAGAAAATCGCAACAGTAATGGAAGAGATGAGAGAAACAAGAACGAAACCAGTGTGGCTAGGGGCTTACCATATCTCTGTCCTCAAGGAGCAATACAACAAAAAAATATTGCTCAATTGCCCGCCAGAAGTGACCAAGTGCTTGATCAAACTCTGACCAATAGTGAACTTGCAGGCCGGGAAATTTGTAGTGGTGATCACTCCAACCCTCAGGCAACCAACGGGGAGGACCAGACCGCGGAGGAGCAGATACCAGTACCACCAGCACCACCCTCACGTAGTAATTCTATGAATTTTGTCATATGGAAGTGTATGGGTGCCCAATCTCCGGACTTTAGAAGGAACTTTCGCTCAATGCTCAATTACTACAGACCACCACTCAGAGGCGGATATAGCGTACTAGCTACGGGTTCAACTGAACTCATAACTTTCGATGCGGAGTAAAAATTTGTATGTAAAAATGCATTAAAATTGCAAAAATAGTAGATATGAACCTATAATTCTAAAAATATAATGGGTTCAATATTAAAAATCTTAAAATTGAACTCATAGGATTTAAATTCTGGATTCGCCTCTGCCACCACTGGTAGTTCTGCTAGAAACATACCTAATGGACCATGCAATACTAGGGGATGACTTTGAATTTACCAACCTCTCACAGGCCCCAGCTGAGGGACATGCGGGGGGCATAGTGATGTTATGGAATAACAATCTCGTTAATGTTAATGAAATAGCAGTACCAATCAAGAGATTCACTGCATCGTACATGTATGTCCACAAGGCCACTCCTTTCTATTATCAGCAATTTTTGCAAGTACATTGTTAACATATAGGAAATTACTTTGGCAAAATCTAATGTTCATAGCAGATACATATAAGGGTCCTTGGATCATAGGAGGAGACTTCAATGACATCCTCTACTCAAACGAAAAATTTGGAGGTTGTCCTATAAATAACACTAGCGCAGATTTAATATTAAATTGTCTCAACTATTGTAATCTACTTGACTTAGGATTTAGAGGCAGTAAATACACATGGACAAATAAACGTAGAAGAGGAGCCATGATTTTGGAAAGATTAGATCGAATTGTAGCCAACTATGAATGGCTCAATCTTTACCCAGAAGCGCATGTGCACCACTTGTTTAGAACCCACTCAGATCATTGCCCGTTAATGTTACTCTTCATAAAAATTCTCCAATGCGAAATAATATTTTTAGGTTTGAAACAACGCGGCTATCCCACCAAGATTTAAATTAAGCAATCACTAATTCACTTTTGCAAAAATATTTTCGAAGAAAGGCACATTTCAGTAGACTTAAATAAAATCTATATATGTTTAGTCCCAAAAATTAAAAGTCCTTCAACAAGTGCTCATTTTAGACCTATTAATTTAT